AGAATCACTTTTTTCTCAAACACTACCAACTTTTACTATTAATCACTTTTCTCAAAATCACTTTAAAAAATCACTTCTTTGAAGTTGAAGCAATTGCAAACACTCCCGTAGTCTGACTCGGAACTGCTGAACGTCGAGCGAGTTTGGATCTGCAACCTACGAACGACGGCGTTTAACTTTTTTAAAACGGACTAAAACCATGACATATGGGTTTGATTCAACCGAATTCTACCAAACCGGACTAAATTGAACCAAAGTTGGATCATATGCAATTTGGTTGAGTTTGGTAGTATTAAAACGAGCCAATATTGAGAAGAAGAAGAAAATCTAACAAAACTATAGAAATTTAGTAAAATATTCATATGTAACTAAAATATAATAAATCCAAACTGAAGCAAAGCGAAAAATAGTACACCGTGGTTTTTATTTGTTAATAATTCTTTGTTTCAATACGAAAAGAACTCAAATCATAAAAACCAAACTGAAAACCTATAAGCCCACCCCTGTCATTTTATAAAAAGTAAATTTGAGCTTTCATATAATGGAAGAAGGTACAAAATATAGAGTCTGATAAAATTGAAATTAGTTGAATCCACCGAATCTGTTGAATTATGGAATATTATATTTAAAACATATTTTACTGCAAAATTAATAAAAAAAAATTAATGAAAGAAATAGATAAAATGATCACTTACAGTAACTACGGTCAATTCAGCCAGAAAAGTAACTACAACTCTACTTATTTTGATTATCATACAATCTATGTAGCATTGATACGAGTAGGCGGAAACGCGGAAACAGGAACGGGGATACGACAAAAAAAAAGTAGGATACGGATAGGGGCCATGTTTATAAATATTAAAAGTTACAGAAGTGTATTTATAAATATTAAACATACATTTTTTTTAAAAAAAATAGACATATATTATCCTCCGACATCTACTCATTCATGGCATTGAATCATTTTACATTTTCAAGATACTTAGAAATAAGTTCATATTTTCTCTCATATACACTAATGCACCTCGAAATATAAATATAGTCAATAAGTCATTAATTTAAAATGAGAAATAAATCAAACAACTACAGTTTCGAAATTAAAAGTGCAAGTACTCAAAGTTCTAGAATAATGAAGATAGAAAACAATATTTTAAAAGTTCTAATTCATATTTCCGTTGGAGCTATTAATTTTCAAGGTTTCCAAGGATAATTAGAATTAGAGATAGGAGGATGGGTGAATTAGAAACAGGTCCATTAGTTGTGTGTCACATAAAAGAAAGGTAAAAATTATTTTTAGCTTTTCATTTTTAAAGAATTTTATTATGTAAATTTTGAGTGTTTTTTTATAGTTTTTCTTTTGAAAGTTTTTTTTTTAAAAAGTTGATACAGGTATCCTTCAGGATACGAGTATCCGAAATTTTAAAATAATTACAAAAAAAGTGGAAACTTTTAAAAATTGCGGATACGGCCCGGGAACGTACGCTACGGGTATTGGAGAGTATCGGATACGGAAACGTATCTGATATGCTGATACAACACCCTAGTGAAGTATCCGTGCTTCATAACATACAATCAAACGGGCGAAATAAAAAATCAAAACACTGAAACATGTTATTTGTTCAGAAACAAAAATGTTCTTCGTACACATACTATGTACACATATTGTGTAAATCCCTAGCTAGTTGTCTATTCACACAGGCAAATTGTTTAGAAACTGTCTTGTAGACAGACAACTAAGCAATGTACACAATGTGTGTACAAAGTATGTGTACACCAGGCAAGTGTAACCGTGGTTGCCATTGAGATACGTGGGAGTGGGACATATATGTAAGTTGGAAGGAACTAACAGCTCCAAGTAGGCCATTTTTTGTAAGCAGAACTGGCGATGCGGGATGAACCGGAAGCCGGGTTATGGTGCCCAACTATTCGCTAACCTAGATCCCCACAAAGTGTGTTGGTCGATTAAGACAGCAGGACGGTGGTCATGGAAGTCAAAATCCGTTAAGGAATGTGTAACAACTCACTTACCGAATCAACTAGCCCCGAAAATGTATGGCGCTTAAGTGCGCGACCTATACCCGGCGGTGAGGGCAAGAGCTAAGCCCTGATGAGTAGGAGGCCAGCAAGTGTTTCGTTTGGTAAGATATTGGTAGCTCATTCCTACTTTATTTCTTTACCATTTTTATTTATTTTTAGAATTTCTCTCATTAATATAGTCTTTATTACTCACTTTTCATTCGTTTTATCGTGCTAGAAGGGTTGTAGATTTTCATACTCCATATTAGATTAGGAAAATGGAGACCGACATGATAAATCAATTTGTAAGGTACATTCAAACAATATTAACAATACTTTAATGTATTTATACAAATAACTTTTTGTGTGCAAATTAAAGATTAATTTTGTTATTAAAAACACGAATTCAAGATGTATCATTTGTTATAAAAAAATACACTTTTGTGAAAGGTTTACCCCTTCCGAAATAAAGGACACCCCTTTTAGTGCCAAACGCAGACTACAACAACAATAAATTTGTACAATCATTTTGTAAGCTACACTTGATGAGATATTTTGTTCATAAGAAGTCTAGTATCAACTTTGAACGGGCTTCGTGAGAGCTCGGCTCTATCTCTCTCTAGTGTGGGTTTCCACCGCTAGGGTTTTTTGCTCCGCTATCATTTGTAACGAGGAGTGGCCACCACAAGCGGACTTAGGCATACAAGGTTTCTTCTTCCGCCATCAATTAAGAGGAGGGAAGATGATGGTTGATCTCTGGCGACTGAAGGTTGTGCTGGGACGAAATACGGATGCTTGGTCTCCGGCGGCCATACGTCATGGACGAAGCGTGGGGCTAGAGGCTAGAACACGTATGGATTCGAGATCATCTGTGTTAGGTGGCAACAGTCGACAGAGGGGGTTTGGCAGAGAACATGATGAATACGAGGCATGGTGAAGAAGAAGCTACAGTATTGCTGGATCGTCCCCCTCCTGAACCGCCGCCATGGAGTACAGAAGAGTCGTCTAGGGTATGGAAGCAGCTTTTTAATTTTATTGTTTGCTTGCAATTTATTTTTCATGATCAAACAGTTTACTTTTCTGTTGGTTATTTTTATTGTTGTAAGACTCTTGCATTAGGATTGGATGATGAGAGGTCTGCTTTAACCGTCGTTGGCTCATTTATTGATTCTAAGTTTGGTTCGAGGGCTGACGATTGTCTGTGGTCCTTTTGTCGTTTTACTCCCTATCTGAATGTTGTGATATCAATTTATGCCCCTTCTTTCACACACAAAAAAAAGATATCTTGCTCATACCAACAAGATTTTTTAAAGATAAAATTTTCGTATTACTTTTTCAAGGCAAAAATTATATAGACTAAATCTTATTAGTGTGAGAAAAATGTTGTAGATGTGAACTAAAAAACCTAGTTGTACAAAACTACATATCTTGCCTCTTGGTGGTCTACCCATAACAAAGTGATAGTAGTAGTGATGCGTTTAGTTGACTAAAATTTGCTGATCTGGTTTGGTCTTTTTAAATTTGGTTTGGTTTATTTATGTATCGTTTGGTCTAGTAAATGTCTGGTCTCTGTGTGTTTTATAACTATGGAGGCCCGGTCTGGGTCTGAAAACAGTCAAGTAAAAAAAACATCCTAAAAAGAGAAATCTAACACAACAAAAAGTTCACTACTTAGCAAATTAATAATTACGTAGTAATCAAGTAATATGGTAAGACTAATAATAGGTTCGATTTTGATCTAAAACCAAATATAGAACCAAAGTGAAAAGTTCGGTTCGGTTTCGGTACGGTTTTACACTCCAAAACTTGGAACCACGGTTTGATTGGTTTGGTATGTTTCGATTCGGTTTCGGTTTTTTACCAAAATATTATCATTTGATTTAAAATTGATATAATACTTTGAGGGGTCAAACATATTACATAAACAATGCAAGCACACTACAACAAAATAAATAAAAATGAAAATAAATAAATACTCCCTCCGTCCCCTTTTAAATGTCCCGTTTTACCATATTGGGATGTCCCTATTTAATTGTCTCATACCTTATTTGGTAAACTTTGTGTGGATCAAAATCATTCTTACTTTATTCTTACTTTATCAATTAATATCAACCACACAAACTCACTTTTCTTAAAACCCGTGCCACCATCTCCCGTCCCATTTAAAAGGGGACGGAGGGAGTATGTCTTGAATTACATGAGTATGCGAGAGAGATAAAAGTATATATATTATTAATTTACATTGTTTGTGACTAGTTCAAAAAAAGTTCACGAGTATATATGTTCTGTGTGATATAGTTGAGATAAATATTTATTGTTTCATTAATATAAATTCTTTAGATTAAATAAAAATAAGAGTTAATTAATACTAATAACTAGTAAAAACATATTATCATCATTCAGTATAGCTACATTATAAAGGCAATGGATGTGTAAATGAATTTATAAACTAAACTTAACTAAACATAAAACGAACATTATTTCTCTAGCACAAGAAATCGATCAATGTATATTCTCATTTGGTACAAGGACTATTAATGATATTAGGATTAGTTAGAATTAATGTTTAACAATTGACAAATGAATTTTATATATTCGGTTTGGTTTTGAAGGGTAAAAACCAAAACCGAACCAAACAACTACGATTCGGTTCGGTTTTTTACATTCGGTTTCGGTTTGTTAGCGGTTCGGTTTTATTTGGCTACGATCCGGTATAATTTTATTCGGTTTTCGGTCATTCGGATCCAGCCCTACTCAAAACATATTTCCCCACATAAAATGTATCCTCAATAATATGTTAGCAGATCTGAACGTCCCAGGCGGGTCGACCCGCTTGTAATATCGGCCGATTAGGGCCAACCCGCAAAGGCGCAAACCATGTAAACCCTCCGGAACCCGGGCCTCAAACCTGTTTCAGAACCCACCAGAAACCCAGCCGTTTTGTTTTTTTGTTTTTGTTTTTAAATGTAAAGTGTGCAATTCAAATTATGATGTGGCCGAAACACTTCCGGTCTTCCACAAATGAATCCAATGCACTACTGAAGCTTGTTTGTTTTACGAATTCCTTGTGATAACTAACATTAGTAGTTCTTCAAAAAAAAAAAAAAAACTAACATTAGTAGTTCATTCCCAACTCAAAATAACAACACAAAAAATGCAGCAGCAGCCAGGGCGACAACAAAGGCCGGAACCACAATGGAGGAAACAGAGTTTCCTTGAATTGGAGAATTAGCTACCGGAACTGGAGGACTTCCTGCCAGACTTCCCACCGTAGCAGGGGCTCTTATGGGAGATAACGGCAACATTGTTGGAGCTACCAAAATGGAGAAAAAAGGATATAGTTTAAAAAGATTTTCAATTTTAGTCTCATAATAATAACTTTAGACCATTATCATTGTTATTTTTGTAACTTAACTCACTTATAAGTTCGGTCATGTAAACTAATACCAAAATAGATAAATACAACAAATATACTCATTCAATTTCTTTTGAATTCAAATAATATGGATAACAATACCACACACATAACACGTCCAAACAAAAAATGATTTAAATGTCTTCCCGATCGAATTTTGAGCTGAAATTTGGTATGAATAAACTATACTTGATGAAGAACATGCTCAAAAAATTTATCAAAAAATTCCATCGGGAAGGACCCTAAACGAGGATGTTCGGACGGAGGCTCCTGTTCGAACGTTCGGACCTGATCATTCTTGAACAAGCATATATGTCAACTCTAATACTTCGTATAAAATAGTTTTATTCAAATACTTCATCCATGTCAAATTGTTTTGGGATTTGAAAATCGTTGACAAAATATAAAATTAAGTCATCTCAAGACTCAAGTTAATATGTATATCAATTTTATTGATTAAAATTTACATATTTCAAAACTACGTACACTCAAGTTTCTATAAAATAGAAGTAGAGTTTTGTACATGTAAAATAAGAGAACAAAACTGACTAAACATTTTGGAACCAACGAAGTACAAATAGAGAGCATTGTGTATATTAAAAACACACGATTGTTTGTTCTTTTTTTCTTATTAGCACTTGAGCAACCAAGGGGGTCTAATGGTATATACTTAAAAACACACGTTGGTAATACTTAAAATTTGACAAAGAACCGTTCAGTAATACTTAAAATTTCAAAGATTTGCTTGGTCAATAATAATAAAATTGAACCAATTATATACTCCTTCCGTCCCAAAAACAACTTCACATTCACTATTTATTGGTCAACTTGAATCACTCGTAATCTTTTACTTTTTATATCAAATTTTTATCAAATTTAAATTTTATTGATCAGGCTTTGTATCAGTTTTAATGTAGTTTCTGAATATGTAAATTTTATTTACTAAAAATAATCCGAGTGTGAGCAGGGATCGATTTACTTTATCGTCAGTCAAGCATCGTAAACCGAACGAGAATTTAATTTTGGGACAGAGGTAGTATATTTTTAGAGTAATTCTTGGTGTACACAAAATGTACACTTCATATGTACACGTACAAATTGTGTGTAGAACAAGAATTATTCAAATTTTTATAAGGAAATTATGAAAATATTCTTTAATAAAGATACTTTCATAAAACACACGTACAAAGAAGATAGAAAATAAATTACTAATGACGAAAAAGTTTGAAAGCAACAGATCTGAAACACACGTACCAGGAGGTGATGATGGATTGCCGGTGCTGTTCACTGGTTTTGGGTAGTAATCAAAAGGATCAAACGAATTAGGAATCGTCCGAATTAATGAAAAGAATTACTCCATTCATCCCAAAATTAAGAGTTTGTTTGATAAACATGTTTTTTCGGTGTATCAACCAACCTTCTCATTAAACACATAATTTTTTATTTCATACCTCGAATTATATAATTTTTGTATCAGTTCTGGCTGTATTGACTAAAGTTACTGTAAAAGATCATTTTAGCTATTTTTTATATAATTTTATCTTTATTTTATTAATAAAATATGTTTAACATACTACGTATAATTTTTACATAAATCAGCAGAATCAGCCAATTCAGCTATAAGTTCATAAATTTCAGCAAAATCAACTGATTTTGGTATTACAAAACTGGCTCTAAGTTCCTACTTCAACTTCTATCTATTTTTGGTAAGTTTTTATTAAATATTATTTATTTATCCTTTTATCCTCAAATCACTTCATTCAATTGACCGGCATTTTGGGCAGAATAACGTTTTTTGCACAAACAAAAACAAAATTACTCGTACAACAACATTTTGACCGACTTGTACATATGCCATGTAGAAAAAGCATCATTCTTCCACTTAACAACTCGGGAAGTCAGTGGCGTATCTACTATTGGGGCGGTGGGGGTACTTGCCCCCCAACCCCACTCAGCTCGTATATACGGAGTATAACCTAATTTTTTTAAAAAAAATGTTCAAAATGGAGTTAAACTATATATAGAAAAAATTAAAATAGGATTAAGAGTGTTTTCTTCCCTAAAGTTATGTTTATGTAATGCTATTATCATTTGTACTTGCCCAAAATGGACCCGTACATAAAATCGTTCTCGTAATAAAATTAGCATTTTAGTAAAAAAAAAAAATCCTATTATTATAGAAATAAAAGAATAAAACTTACTGAACTTTGTTACGTTTAACTTCTATTTAATAATTTTCTCTAAATTGATCTTCTTTGATACCAATATGTGCATACATTTATAATTCAACTAAGACTAATCAAACGATACGAATAAATTGATCTGCTCTTTATTAAATACAGAGAATGTGATTAAATTTTAGTGTAAGTTCGCCCGGAAAAACTAATTTCTGAATACGCCATTGAAAAATTTAATTTTGGAAAAGAGAGAGTAAAACCTACAGAAGCCATGGAAAAACTACTCACGGTCACAAGTAGAAGCACTAACGTGGCAAGCAGAGGGGAGCGTCATCGCCTTGGTGACGTTCAGAGAAACTCCGAAACCCGCGCTGCCCTTAAGCCCTTCACACAGGCAACTCGCATTGGTTGCCAACACCAGTTTGAGCCCGGAGCAGCAGGTCCCCTCCGGCTCCGTCCTCGTACTGACATCGGAGACGAAAGACAGACAACCGGCCAGGTTGTTTATGACGGGGCCGCAATCTTGCGCCGCCGCGGGGATTGCCCACACGGCGAGAATGTACACCGCCAGTGAACAAAAAACGTTCGAGCTCAACGCCATTTTCTAGCTAACGGAAGATTGATCGGAGATTTATTAGGATGAAGGGAATGTAGCGATCGATCATATGGATGGTGCGTGACTGGAAAATGCTGAGATTATGGTCAGAGCCAGGGAAAGCTAGGCTTGTATAAGGACGGGTGAGGTGTCATGTGAACATATGAGTGGGGGCCTATGTTTTTGACGGCACGGAATTGATGTGTCCCCTCACTTTCCTAAATTATCGTTGTGGTCGTGTCTATTACTACTCCGTTCTAAAGTCGTCTATTGTTTCTGGGAATAATGTCAAAAATATTAGTAATAACTTTAACAAAGACAAAAATATGACCTCAATTAAAATTAGACAAAAAACAGACTAAACTTAAATCAACGGAAAGAAAAGTTCCCGACCTTATTCCTTCGTTCGCAGCACCCCTCGTCCTTCGCTCTTGTGCATCAAAGCACCGTGTCACGGGCATAGAGTCTGGCGCAGCACACAGCGCCCGTGCGGCGTCCCGGGGTCCCTCTCATCCCCGCGGACAAGCCTCGCTCTCATACGGAACCGGACTGGTTTTGCCCTGCCTTGGGCTCATCAGGGGAACGGCAATAGCTCCCGACCAGTTGTGCCTTCAGACACGCCTCCGTCTCCTTCATAGTCAAGCCCCATGCCCAACTCGGCCAGACCTGAGCGTCTAAGGCAGAACCCTCCTTGACGCTATTGCCTCCCCCATGCCTCACCCGACATGCTAGCCAGTCGGTCCGTCCCATTCATTGAGCCTTACACGGTCACGACCAACGGTCCGTGACATTCTCCCCCACCCAAAATCTAGCACGTCCTCGTGCTAGGGGAGACGACTCTGCCCGAGGATCGCCATGCTTAATATTGTCAACGCGCCTCATCACCAGGCTGCTTCTCTCTCAGCAGCCCGGCCGAGCTGGTGGCCACTCGAGTTCCCATTCCCTCAGGAACCCATCCGCCCCTGCGGACCATCAGGAATGGAGCCGTCATCAGCATGTACCGGCCCTAAAGCCACCATGCTCGCATAGTCCTCATCCCTCACGAGGACCCCACCATAACACGCGACAATATAAGCATGACCCGCTCTGATACCACTTGTCACGGGCATAGAGTCTGGCGCAGCACACAGCGCCCGTGCGGCGTCCCGGGGTCCCTCTCATCCCCGCGGACAAGCCTCGCTCTCATACGCAACCGGACTGGTTTCGCCCTGCCTTGGGCTCATCAGGGGAACGGAAATAGCTCCCGACCAGTTGTGCCTTCAGACACGCCTCCGTCTCCTTCATAGTCAAGCCCCATGCCCAACTCGGCCAGACCTGAGCGTCTAAGGCAGAACCCTCCTTGACGCTATTGCCTCCCCCATGCCTCACCCGACATGCTAGCCAGTCGGTCCGTCCCATTCATTGAGCCTTACACGGTCACGACCAACGGTCCGTGACAACCGGCTCTCCTCCTTCGCTGCTCTCATCATCAATCGTCACCGCCGGTCTCCTTCTACCAATCAGTGTCGCCAATTTCTTTTTCTTCTCCTTTCTCTCACGTGGTTGCGATGGAGGACGATGAGATCCAACAATTTGCACAAATCAGCATGAATTGCAGATACGATGGCTTCGGAGCAAATCCAATCGACGAATCCGGCGAATCTGAGCGGCGAAGATGGCAAATTTGGCGGCGGCTAGGGATCAATTATAGTGACGGGCGAGTTACAGGGGCGGTGAGTCCGGTTTGAGGCGCGCGGCTAGGTTTTGCTTCAGGGCTGAAGAGGGGCCTGGTTCGATGTGGACTGGGAAGGGTGTTGGGGTGCTGGGACATGGAGCTCGGGAAGGGAAGGGCTATGTACGAGTTTACAAGCATGGCAATGGGCGGCGGTGCCGACGTGGTGGTTTTGGGCTGCGATTGTGCAGGACTTGGGGGCTGGGGAGGGGCTGGTGGGTTAGGTACGGGCTGGGAGGGGGTTGGTGGGTTGGGGAGGGGGCTGATGGGTTGGGGGAGGGGCTGGGGAGTGGGCTGGTGGCTGGGGACAGTGGGGAGGGGCTGGTGGGTTGGGAAGGGGCGGGTGTAAGGTGGCGGTTGTCAACGGGTGATTGTCAGGGAGGTGTTCGGGGCTGAGTGCGAGTGTGGGGGTTGGGGTGGCGGGTGATCGGTTGCGGTCGGCGGCGGCAATTTTACTGAACCGGAAACTGTCACTATGACATATTTTCGGCGCCAGTGACATGTTTTCCGGCGGAAGTGACGTTAAAATCTGATAGTGACACGAAATAATCATAGTTACATGGTTACTAGAATCCGGTGTCACTGAAATTGTAGTACCTGAGACGGTGTCACTGGAACAGTAGTAATTGAGACGATGTCACTGGAGCGTCAATAACTAGGATGGTGGTCATTCGATCGGTAGTAACTGAGATGATGTCACTAGAGTGCTAATAATTGGGACAATGTCACTTGAGCGGTTGTAACTATGATAGTGACCAAAAGTGGTGGTTGTAACTGGGACAGTGATAACTCGGGCAATTGTCAAACAATTTTCATATCTGAAATTTTATCCTCAGAAATAAAATTGAAATAAAAAAACATTAATTTTTGTAGATTTATTATAGATTGCATGGATTGCATTTAAAATTTGAATTGATATTAAATAAATAAAAACATCAACTCTTATAGAGTGCATTGTTAACGACTTAACGTAGTATATGCCACCTTTCAAATAAAAAACGTACTATATGCCACGTGTAACTTCTAACTTTCTAAGCTGATTCGGAAGGTGCCGTTCAAGTGTCGTTTCCAATTTTAGTAGCTGCTAGGTCACTTTTTCGACTTTTTTAAATTGGACTCACTTTTGTGGAATTGGGTCTCCTAATACTAATATTGGTATCTGTTGGGATATATTATCCCGGTCTATTACTGTTCGGGAGCCCAAGACATTATCCAGTACGGAACCCGAACAGCTAGGTCCATTTCGGCCCATTAGGCCCGATATTGGCCCGTTTGGCCCATTAGGGTGGAGAGCACCCTTTCCCCTTTGTCTATAAATAGGGAGCTTAGCCTCCATATTAGGGATTCTTTCCTTCTTCCTCCTTCCTCTAGAATAGCTTACAAGATTCCATTAATGGGAGCTCAAAATGTACTATGTAATGGTGAGGAGAGTCCTAATGAGAAAGAGAGGGCTTGGACATTAGCCTAGAAAGTCCCGTGGTTTTCTCCCTTTCCGGGTTTCCACGTAAAAACTGAATGTTCATACATATATTTACTATATCGTGTTGGATTAAACTCAACACTGGCACCGTCTGTGGGAATCTGTCCAAAAAGATTCGTGTGTTCTACCGTTCTTGAGTTTTTTCTACAAAAAATCATATGAAATGGACTGATTTCAGGAAAAAAGAAGAAGAAATGCTTCAGAAAAGATTCTGGGAGGTCAAGTCTGGATTTCTCCAGATCTGGGTCTGGGGTCGCCGGAGCCGTCGTCACCCTTCCCGCCGCGGTGGACCCTCCGGTGATTCCAGCCGCACCAGACGGAGACCGCTGCAGCATCCCTGGTCTCATCATCTCGGTTCTAGGGGAACTCCATCGCGGCAGCACTGTTCATCGGTTGAAGCTCGGTTCTCCAACGTCGACGCAACACCGTCGTTCGTCGCCGGAAGCGAGCCGATGGTCTCTCCTCCACCGGGCCAGACGCCGCTCGAACCGCCATGGGTCCGCTGACGCGAGCAGAGGGGTCTACCGGTTGGTGATTCCTTGATTTTAGCCTTTAAATGCGATTTGGAGCTCAGGGAAGGTACGCCTTGAAGCAACGCCGGACCCCCACCTAGACCGGCCTCCATCGCCGTCCTCGCGCCGCTGCAACCGCCACCACGCCATCACCACCAGGCGACGCGAACGGCTGTCCTTGGTGGATAAGCTGGTGCTCTATCTGTCCGGCCACAAGATGTTTTGTACTCCGTATCTCAACTCCTTGGTTGTAGGCTAACCACGTCCGCAAGGTTTGAGCCAAGTAATGAAAGGCAAGTTCGCTTGGAGAATGTTGATTAAGTCAAAATTGCAACAGGGAGCAAAATGAGATCTGGGAACTTCCCAACTGGCCGAGCATCTCTCACGAAGCTAAGAGCATCTCCAATGTTAGAATGTGCACGGTGCACATATAGCATGAGAGATAGCCACATAAATATTAGTAAATAAATTCTTTCTCTCCTTATTTGAATGATTTTATACAGTTTTGGTAAGTTTTTCTCCACAATGTCAAGGAGACCGTCTAGATATTGACATTGTCGTTGACATTGCAGGGAAAAACATATCAAAATTGTATAAAATCATTCAAATAAAGAGAGAGATAATTTATTTGTTAATATTTATGTGGATATTTCTCATGCCACATGTGCACCGTGCACATTCTACCATTGGAGATGCTCTAAGTATCAAACATCTTGACTGCTAATTAAATGCCAGCTAGTATTTTTTATTACTAGTATTTTTTATCACAATTATTTATTGGGGGATAAAATCTCCCGAAATTAAATAATGTCGTGCGATGCTCTAGTGATAACTAGTTTTCACCGTCATTTGAATTTAATGACTGGTTGATGTGGGCCCGTCGGCCCGCTCCTGATCGGCTTTAATTAGCGGGCGGAGCATACCGGAATGGCCTTTGATAGAATAACATCATTGCTATTGCCTGTTATATCCCTATTATTTATTAGGGATAAAATGTCCCGAATTAAATAATGTGGAGCGAAGCTCTGGTGATGGTTAGTTCAGCTAACATCTTATTAAGTGTTTAATTTCTTGTGGGCCCGTTAACCCACTCTCGATCAGCTTGATTAAGCGATCCGAGCGTCTCCAGTAGGGCGATGCCCCGATGACGCATTTTAATTTGAGGGTTGCATGTTAGTCCGCACGGCACTACGTGCCCGATCGACGATCATACCCCAATGTAATCTACGCTATTAGGCACGAAGTGACTAATGCCAGACGCGGCCTGTGGGGCCCCGAGGGCACCAAAGCGCTCGGCCTCGTGTTTCCGAGGGCGCTGCGACCAACTTGGGTCTGAGTTTGAAAACTCACAGACCGATGAATATCTCTATGTGACGTTCGGCGGGCTGCTAATTGGCCCCGCCGCGAGCTGCTACGTCCATTAACCCCGCACGATGAGTCGGGCCGAGGGTCACGATGACCCATAGGCCGGTAATCGTGGGTGTTAGAGGGAATGCCACACAGATGGCTATGTGTGCATACATATTGTCGGGCCATACGGCCCGTTATCATGCCTATTGCGCAGCTGAAGCCACTCGGCGCGCTTGAGCGAAATGATTAGAAGACGCTCGGCCCGAGTCCTGAAGACGTGCAGGGCCGGCTAAAGAGGAGACCATCACGGCTGAGGACCGTGAGACGAGCATCTCCACCTAGAGGCCGAGGGCCTAGAGGAGACCACCACGGTTGAGAACCGTAGGACGAGCATCTCCACCCCAGAGACCGATGGCCTAGGAAGAACACCTAGAGGCCGAGGATCTAGAGGCGAATGCCATGACGGAGAACCGTGAGACGATCACCCATCATTCAGAGGCCGAGGGCCTAGAAGAGATCGTCACGGCCGAGGGCCGTCTGACGTCATCATACCATGACCGGCCCTTCGGCGCGGCATGATTATCATATTTGAAGACCGGTTTCATCCCCGCTCCTCGCGGGTGACAGCCGTTGCTTGTTTTCTCAGATCGGCCTCTCATTGCCGACACAGTTATATCACGACCGGCCTCCCGGCTCGGCGTGCTTTCCATATTTGAAGACCGGTTTCATCCCCGCTCCTCGCGGGGTGACGGTCGTTGCTTGTTTTCTCAGATCGGCCTCTCATTGCCGACACAGTTATATCACGACCGGCCTCCCGGCTCGGCGTGCTTTCCATATTTGAAGACCGGTTTCATCCCCGCTCCTCGCGAATGACGGCCGTTGCTTGTTTTCTCAGATCGGCCTCTCATTGCCGACACAATTATATCACGACCGGCCTCCCGGCTCGGCGTGCTTTCCATATTTGAAGACCGACCTCGTCCCCGCCCTCGCGGACGAGGGCCGTTGCTTGATTCTTTCAGATCGGCCTCTCATTGCCGACACTGTCATATCATGTTCGGCCCCTCGGCCCGACGTGATTATCATATTTGAAGACCGGCCTCGTCCCCGCCCTCGCGGACGAGGGCCGTTGCTTGATTTTCTCAGATCGGCCTCTCATTGCCGACACCATTATATCACGACCGGCCTCCCGGCTCGGCGTGCTTTCCATATTTGAAGACCGGCCTCGTCCCCGCCCTCGCGGACGAGGGCCGTTGCTTGATTCTTTCAGATCGGCCTCTCATTGCCGACACTGTCATATCATGTTCGGCCCCCTCGGCCCGACATGATTATCATATTTGAAGACCGGCCTCGTCCCCGCCCTCGCGGACGAGGGCCGTTGCTTGATTTTCTCAGATCGGCCTATCATTGCTGACATCATTATATCACGACCGGCCTCTCGGCACGGCGTGTTTATCTTTTGAGGACCGGTTTCATCCTCGCGCTGCGTGGATGAGAGCCGTTGCTCGGACACATCAGCCTGATCGGACACTACTGTCATCTCCTTATCAGGACCGACTGCTCAGCGACATTATGATCATTGTATATCGGCTCCCAACGCCGACCTTCTTGAGTTAGCGATCGGGCTCACCCTTCCCCTCCAGGAGGGTGACCATCGCCTTCGCATGACGACCAGCTATTCCACCGCCTCGTCATTTTATTCGTTTTTGTATCCCACCACCATTATGTGTGACATCACTTGTGGTCATTCTTGGAACCGACGAACGTATTTTCCTCCCTCAAAAAAAAAAATAGAGAAAAGATGGGGAGAAGGGGAGAGAGAGGCTCCTATGAGAGAGGGAGTCTTGACGAGGTATGCCTGATCTTCCTTCGCCGCGTATGACGAACGTCTCCCGACGCGGAGGTTAGTAGGAACGTGGGGGGGGGGGGGGGGGGGGGGGGGGGCTAGACGTACCAAAGGGAACCTCGCCAAGATAAATCAGTTCCTCCCATTTCCCGTGGATCGATGAACACCTTCTGCCAAAGCAGAAGGCTAGTAGGGCCACGAGCATGGGACGACGAAGCAGGGAACCCGCGATAGGGTAAACCAGTGACATCCTTGCGATCGGTGATTGACCGAACGTCTTCTTCGAGGGAAGAAGGTTAGTAGGATCACGACAGGGACGAACGAAGAAACGGGAACCCTGACAGGGTGTACCGGTTCCCCCCCCCCCCCCCCTTATGGACGGATGACGAACGTCTTATGCGAAGCCAGAAGACTAGTAACTCACGACTGGGGACGAACAGAGATAGGGAATCCCGACGTGGATAAACCTGTTTCTTCTCATAGTTGGGATGACGAACGTCTCCTGCGAGACCAGGAGACCAGTACTCACGAGACTTGGGAAGAACAAAGACCGAGTTCTTTACCGGAGTCTGTTGCGTGCCGAGTGTACACCGCTTAGCGGTCCATACATAGGACCACGGATACGGTAGACGAACGAAGACCAGCTCCATGGATCAGACACGAAGAACCAGTTCTTTATCGGAGTCTGTTGTGTGCCGAGTGTACACCGCTTAGCGGTCCATACATAGGACCACGGATACGGTAGACGAACGAAGACCAGCTCCATGGATCAGACACGAAGAACCAGTTCTTTATCGGAGTTTGTTGTGTGCCGAGTGTACACCGCTTAGCGGTCCGTACATAGGACCACGGATATGGTAGACGAACGAAGATTAGCTCCCCAGATAAGACAGGAGGGACCAGTTCCTTATCGGAGTCTGTTGTGTGCCGAGTGTACACCGCTTAGCGGTTCGTACATAGGACCACGGATACGGTAGACGAACGAAGACCAGCTCCCCAGCTCAGACAGGAGGGACATTGCCCAGATTTATTTCAGGCTCACCATTCCTTCCCGGATGGAGTCCTGGCAGACGATCGGCTTCTCACAGCCAATCATCATGGAGACTTGACACATCACCAGCACGGCCGAGGGCCGTGAGACGATTATCACTCACCGACAGGCCGAGGGCCATGAGATGATCATCACCATTTTTATGTAGCACGATCGGCCCCTCAGCGCCATCGTGTCCAGATTCACGGTTCGGATCGCGCATCCCCTCCAGGATGGCGACGAACGTCTTATGTAGCACGATCGGCCCCTCAGCGCCATCGTGTCCAGATTCACGGTTCGGCTCGCACATTCCCTCCAGGATGGCGACGACCGTCTTATGCAGCACGATCGGCCTCTTAGCGCCATCGTGTCTCTCTCACGTTCGGATCGCACATCTCTTCCAGGATGGCGACGAACGTCTTATGCAGTGCGATCGGCCCCTCAGCGCCATCGTACCTGGCTTCACGGTTCGGCTTGCGCATTCCCTCCAGGATGGCGACGACCGTCTTATGCAGCACGATCGGCCCCTCAGCGCCATCGTGTCTCTTTCACGTTCGGATCGCGCATCTCTTCCAGGATGGCGACGAACGTCTTATGCAGTGCGATCGGCCCCTCAGCGCCATCGTACCTGGCTTCACGGTTCGGCTTGCGCATTCCCTCCAGGATGGCGACGACCGTCTTATGCAGCACGATCGGCCCCTCAGCGCCATCGTGTCTCTTTCACGTTCGGATCGCGCATCCCTTCCAGGATGGCGACGAACGTCGTATGCAGTGCGATCGGCCCCTCAGCGCCATCGTACCTGGCTTCACGGTTCGGCTCGCACATTGCCTCCAGGATGGCGACGACCGTCTTATGCAGCACGATCGGCCCCTCAGCGCCATCGTGTCTCTTTCACGTTCGGATCGCGCATCCCTTCCAGGATGGCGACGAACGTCGTATGCAGTGCGATCGGCCCCTCAGCGCCACCGTACCTGGCTTCACGGTTCGGCTCGCACATTCCCTCCAGGATGGCGACGACCGTCTTATGCAGCACGGTCGGCCTCTCAGCGCCATCGTGTCTCTTTCACGTTCGGATCGCGCATCTCTTCCAGGATGGCGACGAACGTCTTATGCAGTGCGATCGGCCCCTCAGCGCCATCGTACCTGGCCTCACGGTTCGGCTCGCACATTCCCTTCAGGATGGCGACGACCGTCTTATGCAGCACGATCGGCCCCTCAACGCCATCGTGTCTCTTTCACGTTCGGATCACGCATCCCCTCCAGGATGGCGACGAACGTCTCATATGCAGCACGATCAGCGCCCCAGTGCCATCGTGTCTGGCTCGTGTTCGGCTCGCCCATCCCTTCCACGATGGCGACGAACATCTCTTATACAGCTCGATTGGCCCCTCGGCGGCATGATGTCTAGTCCACCTCCGGCTCCGCCCATGCCATCTCGGATGGGGGACCCGTCTTATGCAGCATGGGTGGCCCCTCGGCGGCATCATGTCTAGTCCACCTTCGGCTCCGCCCATGCCATCTCGGATGGGGGACCCGTCTTATGCAGCACGTCTACTTCTCGGCGCTGACATGCCCGGTTTATCGATGAGAGCCACCGCTTTCTATCACATCTCACATTCCTTCTCTCATACATTGCACCCATACATTACATGCATTCATGCATTCATGCATCATACCTCATACATTCATACATACACACGTGCGTCATGTTTTGACAGTACCGCGACGTCGGTTTATAGATGCATGGACCTCTAAGCTTCTCCGTTGGAAAGCTTGGGTCAGAGTCCTTTACTCTCGCCTGATGCATTCAGGGGGAGCGTGCCCGTGGAGGAGCACCCTTCGCCCGACCCCGTCGGGAACGGGGGTGCCTCACCGGCAGATTACGTTCAGGAGTGTGGACATCCACTCATATATTATGATTATTCGAAGACACAGGTTCCAGCTAGACAGAGGCAGAGCGCAGGCAAGAATATACTTTCTCGAGCAGATTCGCGCACTCACTACTCAAGAAACTGGGGGACTTGTGTTGGGATATATTCTCGGCCTATTACTGTTCAGGAGCCCAAGACAT